GGGGGGGGGGGGGACGGACAGCAGTTGAACTGCTTATCTTGGAGTTCCCAAGCAATTCACTTTGTAAACTGCCCTTGTTGGGAGCTGTGTTAAATAACAACGGGGGCAAATTTTATCCATTAAGGCAGCAAGAGGGTCACTGAAAGAAGAGTCCCATTAAAACTGGATAAATACTAAACTAATCATTCATAGCTACCCTCTTGTACACACATTTACTGGGTCTCATTGAACTTCCTGTGGCTTACTTCTGAGTATGCATGGAGAATATGCAAAAGTGCAGGCCGGCTTTCAGTTCCCAGCAAGGCATCCGTCCTTCAGAGCCCGTGCCATTGGCTGTCGGCCACCTCCATCGTTTCCATTTTATTTGCCACATGGACATCTTGACTTGGCACAAAAGGGCTCCAGGTGGCAAGCACAGTTTTCTTCCTCTCCCCTTTATCCTGACAACAAGGCTGCAAGGTAGGACAGGCTGAAGGAGAGAGTGAGGGACTGGCTGAAGGTCCACCAGGGAGGTTCAAGGCCAAGTGGGGTTTGCAACCCAGATCTTGGGAGAGTCCAGTGCTCTAACCAGCCCCTCACAGCTTCCTCTCAACCCACGAGAACGTCTTGCTCTCCCACCCCGGACCATGAACGAAGCCTTGCCTGAAATGCTCCTCTACGGCTCCAGCTGGATTAATTCTCTAGTCTTTGCTGTCCTGCTTCATTAATCCTTGACCTCAAGTGCCTGCCTCTTCCAGAATCCTCGGGACTGAAACAGTGTGTTAATCGGTGCAGGCGTTCGGGGTTTGTACCTGGAGCAGAAAAGGGCAACTGTCCCTGACTCTCTTGAATGTGCTTGGCTGTTTCTGGTTTGTCTGCGGACAGGAGACGGCCCGGCCATAATATCAACCAGGGGCCAAGAAGCAGCCCCGGAGAGCCTATGGCTGGCTCTTCTCCCGGGGTTCGTTTGGCCTAAACTTCTGCAGGCAGCAAAAGTGCCCTTCTGGAATATTTAGCGCCCCTGCATCCTGTGCACATAAATGCGTGTAACATCTGGAGAAGCAGGCTGCAGCCCACCAAAGCTTGGGCCCCGTGACACTTCTTTGGCCAGCCTCCTCCTGTTCAGTTTCCTGCATGCCTCACGGCAGATGTGCGAGTGGCAATGCAGAGAGGCCTGGCCACCTGCTTCCTCGTGTGGCCGCTGGTGCACCCTGCCACGTGACCAGGCCGGCAGCCGGAGCTCTGAGCATCCCCACGGTCGCTTCTGCATTTGCCGCGACATATGTGACAAACCGAGCAGGCGGCTGGCCTGAGCGTTTAAGGTGCCCTAATTCCCTCTGCTCTTTTTGCCGGGGCAGACGGAGGCAGTCCCCACCCCAAGGACCTTCCTGGAGATGAGAGTGAGCCGTCAGCCTCCCCTGCTCATCTTCACGGCCGCTGAGAGCCCAGCCTGGAAAATATCCTTTTTCAAAGGACGATCCCGGCCAGTGTGACCATTCCGGGTACCAAAGCGAGGGACTTACCTTGTAGAGGCAGGTGTCCAGCACACATTCGCACACATCCCGCGGGTTGCCGGAGAGGCACAGGCGGGAGCGCACAAAGGCGCACAGCCCCGCGTTGTCAAAGGTGTCCCAAATGCCGTCACAGGCCAGCACCAGGAACTCATCTTCCTCCGGGCAGCGGGGCAGCTGGTCCACCTCCGGCTCAGGGGACACCAGCTGCTGGGTGGGGCTGCACCAGGCCACCCCCTTGTAGTCGAAGTCGCCCAAGGCACGGGAGACGGCCAGGGAGCCGTTGACGCGCTGCAGGGTGACCGTGCCACCGGCGTTCTCGATGCGCTCGCGCTCCCTCGGCTTGATGGGCTTGTGGTCGTCGGTGTAGAAGTTGACGGTGCCCGAGCGGCACAAGAGGGCTCTGGAGTCGCCCAGGTTAATGAAGTAGAAGTGGCGGGGCGATACCAGCACGCCGACGGCGGTGGTCCCGGCGCGCTCCCACGCTTCGGCCTGCGACAGGGCCTGCATGCGCTTGTCCAGAGTCAAGAAGGCCTGGCGCACGGCCTCCTTCACCACCTCGGGGTCCTCCTCCTCCTCCGTCTGGCCCGACAAGGCCTCGGTGGCCAGGAGGTGCTCAAGCAGGTGCTGGGCACAGAACTGGGCCACGGTGTGGCCCGCGTGCCCGTCGTACACAGCAAAGAAAGCCCAGCCGACCAGGGGGCTGGGCAGCTGAGGCTGGAGGGAGTGGGCATCTTCCATGTGGGCCCGCCAGCCCTGCATGGAGCCAAGGGCGTACTTTATACCCCCGGCCTCTCCTTGCTCCAGCAACTTTTCTGTCCGCGGCACCTCCAAGAAGAAGCTGGGGGCTTCTTCCTCCTGTTCCGTCTTGAAGAAGCGCGACATCATCCGCTCGGCTTCGGACACAACCAGCCTCACAAAATTGGCCATCCCTGGGCACAGGATTTCCCCAAACCGGCTGGACTCCAGCTCTAGAAATTCCAGAGAGGTGAAGGGCCGCGCAGCTCTCCTCAGGTGGGGCTCAGCGGCAGCCACCCCCTGGCATCTCAGGGGTCACGGCCACCGCGACCACCCTCTTTGCCTTGGCAGGTGGATCTTAGCTGGTCTCCTTTCGCAGGTGGGTGGCACCGATTGGTACCTCAGCATGCAAAGCACTGGGTGCCAGGGTGTGGGAACGTTGTGTTGCTTTCAGGGAGGACGTCACTCACCATCCAGGGCCAGCTGTTTCATCCTGCAGCTTGGTGCACTGGAAGGCTGCCCGCCGGCCTACTCTGCCCTCCTGGTGGTGCTGAACTCCAGCCCTCGCTCGCGGCATCGTTCACACATTCTCCCTTCCAAGAGGCATCACATCCCCTTCTGCCCCATCCGCCAGCGCCAGCATCTTCCTTGGACCACGGAGCTGGCAGAGGTCTTCCCTGCTGGCTGACCATCTGCCCAGGCCCCTAGGAAGCCACTCCTGTTTGGCCCCACCCGGCTGCTGCTTCAACCCAGCAGCAGTAATCTCTTCATCCTACAGCTAAATACGGGATTTAGAAGCACCTAATCCCCATGTGGAACGTCTGCACACGTGGGCGGGCGCTCTAGGTAGTGGCCGGCCGAGGCTTTCAGCCAAGAGTCCCCACCCCACCCTCAGACCACCCAACTTCTTTGGGTCAGCAGCACCTCTTCCCCCATTTGCAGAAGCCAGATGGTGTGTGTCTCTGTGTTTTTAAATGCCAGCCTCTTTTTATCAGGAAACCAGTGTGGTGAAGTGGACAGAGCGAAGGGCTAGGATTCAGGAGACCTGGGTTCAAATCCCTGCCCAGCCACAGAAACTCATGGGCGTGATAAAACCTCCTCTTGAACATCTCACAGACCCCTCCATGCCCTTCACTGGGTTAAGCAGGAAGGAGAAAGAAGTGTGTGTGTGTGGGGGGGGGGACAGACACGTGGGCGGCTTATACCCTGGGGACACATTTCTGTCTGTTGCAGAATCCAGCTGTTCCTGGCGCAGAATTCCCCCACCGTCCGTCTCTGTTTTTTCACTCTTCTTTGCCACACATCCGCCTCTCCCCCAATTTGCCAGCCAGGCGGTGCTCAGCAGCCTCTCGCCACTGCATGGTGGGCACCTCCTTTTACTATGCAGGGAAAGGAGGCGGGTCTGGGGGGGGGAATGAGTGACAGGCGGGTCTCTTCCTCCGGTCCTCCAAGAGGAAGGCGCTGGGTACCACCTTCCTCCGGCTCCCCTTCGCAGCCACACC